TTAGCCCAATGACCGGAGTTATTGTTAAGTTTTTCTTTCGAGGTAGAATTATTTATTGCAAGTAAAATAAAAGAAAAAATAACAATGCAGTAGAGTTTTTCGTTTAGTTGGCAATAATGTAATATTTCCACTTACCTAGGTAATTTAATAATTTTTTCACAAAATTCCAATCGAAGTCAACATTTGGAATTAGAAAGGATCTGAATTTCAGAATAATTGATCCTTTTAATATGATCTATATAATGTCCTTTTTGGGACCTAGACGAAATGCTTCTCAGGTCCACCAATTAGTAGGTCTGAGAGGATAAATGTGCGATCCCCAATGACAAATAATTGATTTGCTCATTGAAAACAATTTAGACAAAGGGCTTTCTTAAATGGAATATACCATTTCCTATTATGGAGCTTGCAAAGGAGATGTGGATCTTGTTGTACGAACATCAGATGCTAGATATATGTTAAAAAAAGAAAAAAAAAGTTGTTGGAAACCTCACATGTAGCCTAGTTGAAGTATTTCAAAATATCGTTGTATGTAGAATGGCCTGTGACACTATAAGAGGTATTTCTTTTATCATTATCATCATCATCAGAGCTTTTTTTCCAATTAATTGGGGCCGGCTACACAAATCCTGATCTATCATTCTGTTCTATTAAGGGTTATACCAGTATCAAAGGTACTTCTATAAGTCCTCAAAATGTGGTTGGGTGACTGATAGAATTTTTGTTGAGTAAAAAAGGAGATGGAGATATAACCAAAGGAAGAGGCCTTTGTATAGTTTATACCCATACTAGAGGAGGAGAAAATTTAAGCACCATGTTAGACGTGTTAGGAGCAAGTGTAGATAGGCAACCTCCTCCCCCCCCAACCCCCGCCCCCGCCCCCGCCCCCGCCCTGCCCCCGCCCCCGCACCCGCCCCCGGTGTAGATCCCCTATACTCTTATCAAACTAAAAGAGCAAATTCCATGTATGGCTAAGTGCCCAAAAGGCAACTATTGACCTTTTCATGAAGGATGAGGTTTGTATAGAGCCTAGGTTCTAAACAATCAAATTAGAGCCTACCTTTAAATAGTATCAAGAAATGTGGTTTCAATATTGGAAATCTTTTTGATAGCCTTAAAACATATTTTCACTTTTATTTATAAACTTTAAAGCTTCAAAGATAGTATAGATCGACAGATGTATAAAAACTCGAAAATCTTGAAAATTGACAGTCCAAACAATGTGTTACAAAATACACTACTTTCAAAACTTGAAATCCACCTTTTTCTCATGTATATACATCTTGATGTCGAGATGATCAATTTGAATATATTTGAGCATCAAAACAACCACTTCCAGTGAAATTTGTATTAAGCTGTAATTTCATTGTTTAGAGCCTGGACTCTATATAAACTATCCCCTTTCATGAATCCTTACAAAAGGTACAGATCGTAATTTCTTTCCGGCTCTTGCTTTCATAGAGTACAATTCTTGTGTAAGTATAACTATAAAATGTTTTAAATTTGGACTGTTTCACAAAAACGATTCTTTCATTAAGTTTTAAAGTATGATAGTCCTCTTCCGCAAAAACATTCTCTATTCACTCTATTGGATGATATCCAAAGTATTAGGAGGCCCCTAAATTTTGAGAAATATGGTGTTCAAACCAGCCAACTTCAAAAACAAAGGGGAAATGTTATTCAAGGTCTCACGACGACTTATAAAATTATAGGGTATTTACAAGATACGGAAAAGTTTATATGGAGCCGAGGCTCTAAATAATCAAATTAGAGCCCACCTCAAAAATTTCATTATAAGAGGTTGTTTTGATGCCCAAATATCCTCAAATTGATCATCTCGACATCAAGATGTATTGAGAGGAGAAAAAAATGGATTTTAAGCTTTGGAAATAGTGTATTTTGTAATTCATTTTTGGACTGTCAATTTTCAATATTTTCAAGTTTTCATAGATTTGTCGATCTACACTATTTTGGAAGCTTTAAACTTTATAAATAAAGATAAAAATATATTTTAAGGTTATAACATAGATTTCCAGCATTGAAACTGCATTTCTCGATACTACTTGAAGGTAGGTAGGCTCTAATTTGATTGTTAGAGCCTAGGCTCTATACAAACCGCACCCTTACGTACAAATGTATGTAATGTTTTCTAAATTATAGGGGATAAAACATCACAATCAACATTAGAGGGTCAATTTTGAAGAATCTCACTCACTCACCTACTAAAAAATATGTTAAAAAATTGCCTTTGTTAATAATTGAGAACGTAACATGTCGGGAAATTTTAGAACTTTGACTCACTTAAGAGGCTCTAAACAAAGGATGAGAGTACCTTGTTTGTTCTAGGTATGTCAAATTACTAAAATATCGGTTCCGTAAGAGCCCATTTAGATCCCTGTATTTTTTAATCATGGAAAAAATCAATCTTGGAATTGAGATTTACTGGCATCTGGTGTATGCTGTTTGATCCATGTATTTTTCAATCATGGGAAAAATCAATCTTGGAATTGAGATTTATTGGCATCTAGTGTACGCAGTTTGGATCGCATCGGGGAGAAATCAAGAAAATACAAATTCCCAATTTGGATTGCCTGGAATATCTTTTTATTGGAAATGCAAATCCTTTCTCTCTCTCTCTCAAAAAATTGAGATAGTTTCTCTCTCTAAAATTTTAATACACTTTGTTTCAAAAACTTAAAATTTGAAATAATTTATCTTTTTAAAAAATTTGAGATAGTTTATCTCTAAAAATTTTATATACTTTCTCTCTCTAAAATATGATATAGTTTATCTCTCTAAAATTTTGAGATACTTTCTCTCTTTAAAACTTACAATTTGAGTTTCTATAAATTTTTTGAGATAGTTTATTGCTTTAAACAATTTCAGGTAGTTTTCTCTCTAAAATATGATATAGCTTCTCTCTCTATAATTTTAAGGTACTTTCTCTATCTAAAACTTAAAATTTGAAATAGTTTTTTTTAAAAAGTTTTAAGATAGTTTCTCTCTCTTTAAAACTTTTTAGGTACTTTTTCACACTAAAATTTTGAGATGTTCTCTCTCTCTCTAAAGCTTAAATTTTGAGACAATTTCTCTCTCAAAAATTTTCAGGTAATTTCTCTCTCTAAAATTTTAATATACATTCTCTTTCTATAACTTAAAATTTGATATAGTTTCTCTATCTAATTTTTTTAAAATAGTTTCTCTCTCTAAAATTGTCAAGTACTTTCTCTATCTAATATTTGATATAGTTTCTTTCCCTAAAGTTTTAAGATATCTTCTTTCTCTAAAACTTAAAATTTGAGATAGTTTTTCTCTCTAAAATTTTCAAGTATTTTCTTTCTCTAAAATTTAATACTCTCTCTCTAAAACTTAAAAATTGAGATAGTTTCTCTATCCAAATTTTTTTAAATATTGTCTCTTTCGCTCAAAATTTTTGGTACTTTCTCTATCTAAAATTTGATATAGTTTATCTCTTTAAAGTTTGAAGATATTTTCTCTCTTGAAAACTTAAAATTTGAGATAGATTCTCTCTCTAAAGAATTTCAAGTTGTTTCTCTATCTAAAATTTGATATAATTTCTAGTCTCTAAAATTTTAGTATGCTCTCTTTCTCTAAAACTTAAATTTGAAATAATTTCTCTCTAAATATTTTGAGATACTTCTTTCTAAAAAATTTTTAAATAGTTCCTCTAAAATTTAATATAGTTTCTCTCTCTAAAAGTTCTAAAAGTTAAGATTTGAGATAGTTTCGCTCTCTAAAAAAATTCATATATATTTCTCTTTCTAAAAATTTTGTATGCGTTCTCTCTCTAAAATATGTCGTGTACTTTCTCTCTCTAAAAAATTTCATATGCTTTCTCTCTCTAAAATTTGATACCATCCCCCTCTCTAAAATTTTAATATGTTTTCTCTCTCTAAATTTGATATAGTTTCCTTCTCTAAAATTTGAATATTTTTTTTGTTCTTTAGCCGCAAAATGGGTCATTTCCATAAAACGAAAATTCCACCTATTTTGATGAAATTGAGATTTCCAAAATTTAGGCTTAAAATGAATACTTACGAATCCCTCATAAATGTCAATTCCAACATAAATGTCAATTCCAAGTGAACCAAACACGATTGACCCAGCTTTTCTAAAAAAAAATGATTCTTGGAAATTTGAATCCATAGAACCAAAGGGGCCCTAAGTAGACAGTTTGTGCATTTTTGAAGCTATTTTTTGAATCTAATATAAAATGACTGAGATCTTTTGATCCTCTAATGATTTGGTGAGGGGCTCTAACCCCTGAACCCTGAACGGAACATGACATTGAATAATGTAATAAGTGTAGTTTCTATAAGGTTGCAACTTTAAACAATCCAATTAAGGCACACCTCGAAATTTTATTATAACATATAATTTTGGTGTAAAAAAGTATTAAGATTATCTAAATATTTATTTTCATATGTAATTATAAAATTTTTAAACTCCAAAAATTGTTAAAATCAAATGGATATTTAAACATATGAAACTCTTAAAAATGGACGGTTTAGATAATGTGTTGAAAAAGTTTTTAGGCTCAAAATATTTTTATTTTTTATTTTTTATATTCATACATTTCGATGTCGAGATGATCAATTAGAGGGTTTTTTAACATTAAAACAATATTTTCCTATGGATTTTGAGATGCACCTTTAATTCTACATTTAAAGTTACAACCCTATATAACTTTTTCCTAATTTTTTTGGGAAAATAAATTTTTTCTAATAATATGTATTTTTTAAGTTAAAAAAGTGTTTGATAACTTATAATCTAAATACTTATCCCAAAAGAAAACTTATAGTCTAAATATATTAATATTACAATCCTGTGGTTTTTGAATATCAAAATTTCAAATGGCAAAAGTTCTTCTCTAACTCCCACCAAGGAAGCAAGTGTACACTATTCTCCCGCGGGAGCATAGTGTACGCGCTCTCATGTAGCGCTCAGAATTTGTGCTCCTGAAACTCGGTAACAAGGTCTTATTTTCTTTCATTTTGCGGAACTTTAACGTTGTAAAGAGAACCAGTGCTTGTGAACTCTCGTATCGCATGTCTTGTATGCCTTGTTTCCTTGAAGATGTTTTAATGGCTCTGAAGAAACCCTAGGAATTTAGTAAAGCCTATGTGACCCTTTCAGAGACTGTTTTTCTAGAAAATGAGTATCATTCCAAAGGAGAACATAGAAGTAATTGCTCAGAGCGTTGGCATCAACAATTTGGCGCCTGATGTTGCTGTGGAACTTGCCAAAGATGTCGAGTATCGAATCCGTGAAATTATGCAGGTTTTCTTGAGAATAATTTTTCTTTTTGTTTTCCTTTCTTATTTCCTTCCTTGAATTCTCTTCAAATTGTTTTTCTGCATATTGTTACTGCCATATGGTGGAATATAAAAATTGTGGCATTTTGATCACATTTTACTTCAAATTTCCTTCCTTTTTTGTTTTTTTTTTTTTTCATATTTTTTATCTGCTTTACAGTAATTTCTGGTTTAGCGATTTACAACCATTTTTTGCTATCGCCGCTTTTTTATATGAGTGGAAATTCCATCGTATATGTGTTTTTTATATTTCTACCACATTTTTTGTGCAGATAATAATTTCATGAATATATAAGTATTGATAAAGCTAATGGTAACTGATGTGAAATTGTAGGAAGCTATCAAGTGTATGCGTCATTCAAAGAGGACTGTGCTGACCGCAGAGGATGTGGATAGTGCACTTAGCCTGAGAAATGTGGAGGTGATATGATGGTTTGCATGTATTTGATTTTTTCTTTTCATGATTATAATCGTGCTTAATTTGGTTACAATGGCAATTAAGGGGAAATTTAAGTTATTCCTTTCAAGTTTCAGCATAGAAATCTAGTTGGGGTTACTGTTTGAATTGATTATTGAGTTTGTGCTATTTGTGTGAAACCCATATTCTGTTTTTCAGAAACAAAAAACTCTACTTGGAGTTAGGATTCGAATTGTCTTTTCAGTGGGCTCTACCCTTGTTAAAGTAGTTAAATTCCCAATTGGTTTCGATAAAAAGGAAAGAAGAAAAAAAGTATGTTGGGGATCATTTGGAGTGTGGGGTATTTGTATTAATTCCATGACAGTTTTTGAAACAAAAATTATAGTTTGAGCTAGAATTGTCTATTGAGTGCGTGCCCAGCCCACAGAGGGTTTTAATAGAAAAGCCAAAGATTGTAGTTTGCGATAGATTTTTCTATTGAGTGTGTGCCAAACCCTAACATTTTTGTTTTTTTAAAAAAAACATTCTCATTTGACTTGAGATTAGCATGGTCTCTTGAGTATGTGCTATTTGCATTAGATCTGTGAGGTTTTTTGAACATGAAGCACTTTTCTATCACATCAACATCGACAACTGGTACCACTAGCAGAGCCGCTACTAATTGTTTAATAATATCATTGAGCATGCGGTGGCTTTTAACTGCCTAACTGCTGAACACATGTATGCTTTCTAAAGTCAATGTCAAGGATTTGCTTTGTTATTTTACCTTCCTTGTAGCTAAATGTAGTTTTTTTTTTTTTGAGAATGAAGTAGCTGGATATAATTCAATTTATGACATTGTTTAGAACACAAATTATGTCCCACATGTGGGGGCCACTTCCCAAATAAGTTGATCTTTTAATTTTGATTTCTTGAGGATTACCCTATTCTTTAGTCTTGAATTCGTGAACATGTGGCAAGCAATAAAGTATGATTTGTAAAACACATTGCAGAACTTGTGACTCATATTTATTGCTTTCTTTGGCATCTCATGGTTGGGTGTCATATAAGAAAAGCCGATGAGAAGTTAGATGGAACTCACAGGCAATGACTGAGATCTTATAAGTTGCAATATATTGGAAATCTTGATTCCATTCACTCATCACAGGGATCGCAATAAAAACTACACACTGTATGCTCAGCAAAGTAGAGTGCAGTAGTTGGAGCTGGAGGGAAACTACTTTGATTTGACAAGGTTGTTCTAACCACATAGGGGGAGGCACTTCGTAGGCATGACTACTTTTGGTCAAAGGAACAATCAATGAAAGCGGTGGACCATGTCGAGTCTCCCCTTTGATACCGGGATAAGGAACTAATGGGTGAAAGGAAAATGTGATTGCACAAGCATATTTAAATAAGGAAAAGCATATCGAACATTTGTATAAAGTTTCTGAGTGATTGAACAAACATATTTGAATAAGGAAAAGTATATCAGTCAACATTTGTATAAAACATGCGATACATCATGATCACATCCACCATCCATTTCCTTAAATGGATGGTGGAGATAAACTGTACTAGTGTGAATTTTGTTCATAGGAAACTCTTGTTTATTTCTGCCATCCTTCTTAGGGAATGGATGCGGATACCCCTGTGGTGTGCCATAACCATGCACCATTCACCCCACCCAGTACACCATTTGCCTATATTGTACTTTCTCTTTGAATTAACATCAATGGGCATTTGCTAACTAGAGGCTTCTACACTCCACGGAAAGAATATCTTATTGATGGCGAATGCTGAATCTTGGATTCCTTGCATTATATATGAGCTATGAATGTGGGAACTCTAATTTCCAGTTAAATACATTATAATCTTGGGAGTCACATTTGTCAAAAACAAGTATAGCAGCCTTAAAGGATTGCAAAGTAGGATATTGTACGTATCCATTGCAGCACTTATTGTGAACTAAATGTCTTCTAACATTTCATGGTTTTGCAGGATGAATATTCTGAAAGAAAAGTATGTTCTTCAAACATTTTATTTTTGTTCTTTTCCGGATGTCCTTACTACTTCTAAACATTATAGGCAGATCATTATGATATTGAAATTTGTATATTGAAGAGTTCTATTATTGTGGACTGTCTGTTTTGCTAACATATTTCAATTTCCTTGTCTTAGCCAATTTATGGATTTGCTTCGGGTGATCCTTTACGGTTTAAGAGAGCTGCGGGCCATAAAGATCTATTCTATGTTGATGACAAAGATGTGGAGTTCAAAGATGTGAGATCAGTGCCCTCATTTGTAGGCCATGAATTTGTTCCATGCATAAATATTTTTTGCTGAAAATGCTGTTATAGGTGATTGATGCTCCTCTACCAAAGGCGCCCCTTGATACTGCCGTTGTCGCCCACTGGCTAGCAATTGAAGGAATACAACCTGCTATTCCAGAAAATGCTACAGTAGATGGTTTCTTTCTAAACTTCTTTTTTTATACTTAGTTTTTTGCTAGGATTTGAATGATGTGTTTTATTGCCACCATTCTACCTCTCTCATTTGTGACTTCTTGCAAGTTGTAAACTAATGTTGTCATTTGGATTGCTTACTGTGCTTGCTATTAGGAGGAAGTACTATCAATAATGAGAATATTTTTCAGATGTTGCGTTTAAGTCAGTGACATTAGCTATGCATTTCTTGAGGAAGTCTCTGTTATCAAAGGCGACTTAGGTGAGCTCCTAGGCAACAATTTCTTGTTGAGGCAAAAAATTATGGCTCTTCTTGTGTTCTCTGGTAGAAGCATTCCAAGCAGGCATCTAGGTTGCCTCTGGTGGCACTTGAGGATTCCACTGAAAGTTCCCTAGAGTGAGGGGCATTGTGGTCATTCTTTTCTTTTGGGTATAAATTACTTTCTGGTCATTCTCATCCTTCTCATGGGCACAAAAATCTTAGGAAGGTCAGATAACCACCCTGAGTTAACCTTCTCTCTCCCAAAAAAAAAAAAGTTAGATAAGCACCCTGACGTCTCTTAACACTCATACTATGAGATGCTGAGAGCATCGAGCCAAAAAGGAAGAAACTAAGGATTTTTCCTGCAAAACTATATATGCAATATTTAAGGGAACAAAGGGCAATGACGAAAGCATCATTGAGATTTGAAACTCTGTATTTTTCTGTGCTCTAGAGTTTTGCATAACATTCATGCATTATTATTGAAGACATATTCCGTAAACAATGAAATAGCTGTGGATTCTTCTTTATCGTTAAAAATCCCATCTTCACATTCATGTGTGAAACTTCAAATTTTACAAACTCATCCATTAACAAAGAAAAGGCAACAGGATTTAGTTGTTACCAGTTTGTCATGACTCATGATCTGAAAACATCATGCCAGATAGGATCTTTGATGAGGCTTGGTTTGTGTTTCTATACAAAGACTTGCTAATTTGATCATTGATAGCTTATTGAATTGGAATGAATTTTCTTTTGTGTAAATTTCACTATTCCTGATTTAAATCAAACTAATTGGTTGCTTCTCTATCTTAGTAATTGTAGCTCCTTCAGAACACAAAAAGTCAGAGCATAAAGAGGATGGGCTTCCTGTTGATATCAAATTACCTGTTAAGCATGTCCTTTCTAGAGAGCTCCAGGTGAATACACACATTATCATTGTTTTTTGAATAAAATACAGATATTATCGTTAGGTTTTATGAAGTTTGAATCCCTAATGCTCTTAATCATTGAATAAATTCATTTCTCATGTTTGACTATCTTAACAGACATTTTCCAATATGAGTGCTTATTTTGCCTTGTATCATTTATTGTGCAGATGTATTTTGATAAAATCACTGAGCTTATTGTTGGGGGATCTGATTCGGTGCTCTTCAAGGAAGCTCTAGTGAGTTTGGCGACAGATTCAGGACTTCATCCTTTAGTTCCTTATTTCACATACTTCATTGCTGATGAGGTAATTATGAGCTCATCTAAAATTGAATGGAAATGAATTGTCAGATCAAATATCTTAGATGAACATTTTTAACATGCTTTAGCAGGTAACTAGAAGTTTGAATGAGTTCCAGCTTCTGTATGCTCTAATGCGTGTGGTCAGGAGTCTTCTGCAAAATCCACACATACACATTGAACCTTATGTAAGTTAGTCTCTACTTGTTATGAGTACATGAAAAGGAATAGCATTTAGTTTTTCGGCTTTTTTATCACTATTATTGTGAACGCTGTATTTCATGACATCTCCTGTACAAATTCTTTTGAGAAGTTAGACTATTCAGACTATTCCAGCATGATTTGATCTGATTTATGTATTCGTGCTTGTTTCAATTTTTTGCTTGCTCAATAGAACTAAATGTGATAAAATACTTTTGACACTGACTTGTACAAAATTCCTCATGCTTATTTGGTCTTGATGTTAAACTTCTTTCCTAAAGGTGTGTTTTTCCTTTGTTCCACATTCTTCTTCTTTTGTCTAATTGATCTCAAGGTTGAGAGTCATCTTGGTCTATATTTCAGAATTCTTCTTTGTTTAAAACTTTCATCTTTTTCCTTTGTCATTTGAAGTTTGTGAAGTGGAACTTGAAATACTTAGGGAGACAAAAAAAAAAAAACTTTTTTTGGGTAGTTCAGCTGTTGGATATAAACTTGGGATCCATTGTGCAACATCGCTTTGCCCCATTACTGATGATTCTTAAGCAAATGTCCTTAAAATGCAATGCTTGTGAACCTGTTGACTAAAGGAATTTCAGTCTGTTGTCCATTACATTATCATCATAATTCTTGGTGTTCAACCCACAAAACCCAGATGTAAAGGGCTCCTTCACGTTCTTGGGGTTGTATCCAAAGGGTATGTCGTATGATTGAAATGGGCTCACAGAGACACTACTGCATTACATATGGAACTTTTCCTCCCATTCTATAACCATCTCCATGGCCTCCATCTCTTTGATGTCGAGATGCTCTACCACCTGTCTGCTTCATTCCACTTGCATAGAAAACATGTCCTCTCCAGAAAACCCTATCTTTTGGAAATTTGTTTTGATATTGACAAAAGAAAAACACTTGCTTAAACTTTGAGAAAATGATAATCACATGAGCATTATAAATTTCATCCTCTTCTCCAGTCTGTATCTCTTAAAACTCCAAATCAGAGCCTTCTCTTTCAATGAAACCATCCAATAACAATTGATCCAACTTATAGGCGTAGCCTGATATGCATGAACATCTTAGAAGGCACTTTAATTGTTAATCCATCATATTTTTAGGAGACAAAAGTTGAACATTTAGCCACCAAACGACTGAAAATTAGTGCACTAGCCAATTACCGCTTATACCAATTGTTTTCTTCAGTTGAGACATTAATATTTACAAATTGTTGGTTGCCGTTTATGTAAGGCTTTTTTTGGCTTTACCCACAATCTCTCTTCCTTCATTCTGATTTAGTGACGATTTCTCTGCCATGAATGACCTAGTTAGTATTTTACCAAAAAACTGAGCCAATTGGTATTGAATTGTTGTTGCTGCTGCTTTTTTTATTTGACAAAATTTATGTTCTCCTCAGCTACATCAGTTGATGCCATGTGTAATCACCTGCCTTGTTGCCAAAAGGTTGGGCCACAAATTTGCTGACAACCACTGGAAGCTTCGGGACTTTACGGCAAGTCTGGTAGCATTGATATGCAGAAGGTGAGAAATCCAACTTTAATTGCTATGTCGATTTACTTAAGCGTAGGTTGGGATTATATCTCTCTCAAATGCAAAAATACTGTGACACAATGTTTATTTGGAAAGTGTTCTTCATATGTAGTCTACCGACAATAATTTGCAATCCTGGCCATCATACTATGTTTAAAGGCATTTAATTTCCTCCTAATTCCTTTGTACATGATGTGGATTTAATTTTTTTAGGTCATTTGGTTATATGAGGTTAATTTAGTCAAAATCAGGCTGTCCATCAAACAAGCAAAGCGGCTGGTCAAGTATACAGTGGACAGAGCAGTTGGATCAGTATAAAGAACTAAATAAATATTTTTTTTTTGAAACTATTAACTGTATTGTTTAAGTAAAAGAAAGTTACAAGTAACAATGGTATACCAAAAATAGGCTTCCCGAAACAACTGGGAGCCCTATGCAAAAGCCCTCTAGGGGCCCAAAAAATCCAAAGGAACCCTATACAATGTATCACATGTGGGAGTAAGAACAATTAGGGCTTCAGTAGCTCAAAAAGGCGCTTAGGAACCCCCTGAAAGGTTGCTAGAAGTTCCCTCCCTAGCTATGAGATCAGCGTGAGTATTAGCTTCCCTCCATCCGTGCCTCCACGAGATGCTAAGAGAGCTGGTAATGTTCAAAATTTCATCAAAGAGATGGTCCAAATGCCATGGGCAGGGGGAAATGGCTGAGGCCAGGTAATGTGCTCTTGGAGTCACTTTCGAGGGCCAATGCATTGCCCCAGCTCGAGATTGAACTTTCTAAGGCCAATGAGGAGAGCTAGGGCCTCAGCAAACGGGCTGTCAGCATGGCTGATAGGGGAGGAGAAGTAGAGGAGAATGTTGCCATTATGAGTTCTGAAAATTCCATCAATACCTGGAGGGCTTGGGTTGCCAAGAGAGCAACCATCGAAGTTAAGTTTGATTGTGCCTATGTCGGGAGGTCTCCACAAAGAGGCACGAGAGATTCTGTATGGCCTCAGATTCTGCATGGCTTGCCAATTCTGAAGGAAATCCGAGAGAGAGAAGTTCTTGAAAGTCTTATGGTGTGTGGCCCAAAAGATAACGAGCTCGATGATCTTCTCAGAGCAGCAATGGGCCTTGCTTCTCTCCCCCCCTAAAGTTTCTGCTATTACCCACTATCCAAGTAATCCAAATTGTGGCAGCAATGGAAGCTCTCCATAGGTAGAGTCGAGCTTTGGACCATGGGGGAGAGAGGGAGGTTCGAAAAAGGTGGGGAATGGGCATCGGGGTAATGCATGTCCAATTAAAAAGGTGTAATCATGTGCTCCAAAGGGTGCTAGCAAGTCAGAATGGAGGAAGAGATGGTTATTAGTTTCCTTAGCTTTTTTTTTTGGGTAATTCAGTGGGGATGACGAGCCCCTTCCTGTTTTTGAAATCGTTAGTGGTTTTGAATGCGTTAGGTGAGAATGGAAGCCTAGAGCTTAGCTGGGGCACAAGTGGTGCTACCACCGTGACGCCAACTCCATTCTCATTAGTTTCCTCACTGAAATACACAAAAGTGCACATGTTGGTTAAGGGAAGGCATCTTCTTTGGATTTGATCGATGGTGAGGGCTCTGTGGGACAGCGCAATCCAAGTAAACATCTGAATTTTTTTTTTTTGGAAGTTGGGGGGTGGGTGGGTTAAGAGGAACTAGGCTTTGGTAGCAATGGAAGGGGGGTTGGGAGGAAAAAATGGGGGGGAAGTGATCGTCTGATACATGGAGGCCACGGTAAAGGTTCTGAGGGGGGAGGGACCCCGGGGGTGGGGGGGGGGGGCGGCGTGTGTGGGTTAAGAGGAACCAGGCTTTGGTAGCAATGGAAGGGGGGTTGGGAGGAAAAAATGGAGGGGAAGTGATCTTCTAATACTTGGAGGCCACGGTAAAGGTTCTGAGGGGGAGGGAGCCCAAATCAGCTCATCTTCACTTGAGAGGGGAAGGAAGACCTGATCGAGAAGAGTGGACAAGGCTGTGAACTCCTTGATCTCATGGTCTTGGAGGGCTTTGTAGAGATCAAGATCCCAAGACCTCACGGGACTGCCAAGAGGGAAGTAATCATCCACAGTAGCTTGGGGATTCCTTGTCAGGCTTGAAAGCTGAGGAAAAAGTTTACACAGTGGGGTAGAGGCAAGCCAAAGGTCTTTCCAGAAGTGTATTTTTTCTCCCACTTGAGGATGAAAGTGGATATTGGCAAGAAAGGACACTGCAAAGAATGGACCTCCATATACTTGAGATCCTGCCTGAGGTCCTACAAGGAGGGTCCAGTCGTCCCTGCTGTGGCAATATTTGTAGCAAATTACTAGCCCCTAAAGGTGATCAGATTGAGTGGCGTATCTCCACCACCACTTGCTTAACAGGGCAAGGTTCAACTTCTCGATGCCCAGCCCACCCTATGTAATGGGAGAGCGAACTTTGTCCCATGCAATAAGGTAGTAATTGTGGCCTTCCATCCCTGACCAAAGGAAGTTTTGCATGGTTTGCTCCAAACGGGCTGAGACTGCGGCTGGCATATGGAATAAAGACATTTGAAAGATCGAGATATTGGAAAGGGTGGCTTTGACAAGGGTTTTCCTTCTTGCAAAGGAAATGAATCTTCCCTTCCAACCAACTAGCCTTCTATCAAATTTATCAACTAAATGGCGCCATTGTTCTAATCTGGGCAAGTTGTAACACAAGGTTAGACCAAGGTAGGTGGAGGGGAGGCCGTCAACAACGCATCCCAATCTCCTTGCCAAGGAACAAACCAATGTAGGGTCGGTGCAGACCCCTATCATCTTGGTCATGGCCAAATTGACCTTGAAACCAGTGGTGAATTCAAAACACTTAAAAAACAAAAGGAGGGAATCGACTTGTTCCAACGAGCATTGCAAAAAGTAGAGTGTCATCTTGGTACTGCAGATGGGAGATTATGGGACCATGGCTAGAGGATTGGAAGCCATTGAGGTAACTGTTGAAATAAAATCTGGAGATGGATCTACTAAATATCCCAGCCGCGTTTGCAAAGAGTAAAGATGATAAGCGGCCATCCTGGCGAAGGCCCATAGGGGCAGGAAAGAAATCCACGGGAGAGTTGTTAATAAGGACAAAGAATTGAGAGTCATCCATAGTCTCCAATGGGGTGAGAAGCCGATCCTACATTGAGTCCTTTCTAGAATGTCCTAGTTTAGATGGTCCTTTTCTCAGCCCAATTTTATGACTACACCAAGAATTTTGGAAAGGATTCGCGAATGGATGCACTCGTGGGCGATGAGGGCTCCATCGAGGATTTGCTGGTCTTTAACAAAAGTCCCTTGAGAAGGGGTTATGACCCAACTGAGGACCGATTTAAGCCTGGTGGCCAGGACTTTGGAAGGATCTTGTAGGAGTTGTTGATGAGGCTAATGGGTCTGAAATCTTCGAGTTCTTTGGCTCCTTCTTTTTCGGGTTCAAGATAAGGAAGGTGGCGTTCATGGCCTTGCTTTTGACACCACAGGAATGAAATTCTGCAAAGAAGGCCAGGATAGCCAGGATTTTAGGCTAAAAAGTCTCCCAATTTTTTTGAAAATGGCCACAAGATATTTGTTAGGGCCCGGGGCCCTTTCGTGACCGAGGTTGTTGGTGGAGTTGAAGATTTTGCCCTCTTGAAATCCAGCCACCAGCCATGTTGCTCTATTTGGTAGGAGAGTAAGGAAGGAGTGATCGGCGCCATAGAGGGTCTGGGGCCAGGGGTAAGGAAAAAAGATTGGTGAGAAACTGAGAACTGAAAAGATTGCTTGTTCAATGGGGGGGGGGGGTGTTGGGGTGGTTGATCTAAGATGGTGTTGGCTACTTTGATATGGGAGATGGAGTTATACTGCATTCTATAGTTTGCAATTCTGTCTATGAAGGCAATATTAGTGTCCCCATGCTTGAGCCGTTGGATTCTGGATCTTTGGGCCCAATAGATTCCCTCCTTTCTCAAGAGGAGATGGTGGTCCATTTTGGTTTGGGCCCTAGATTGACGCTTCTCAGGGGAGAGTATTTTGGATTCTTCATTGGAATCCCACATTTGAATGGAGCTAAGCAAGGCCTCCTTGTGGGTACGGAAGGTTTCAAGGAGTTGACTGCTCCACTCTTTAAGAGTCGATTTAAGCAGCTGAAGGTTGCGCTGAAGCCGAAAGCAGCCCACCAACCGGGGATGAGGGAAGAAAAGTTTGGTTCCTCTAGCCATGCCATTTCGAAGCGAAAGGGCAATGATCATAGGTGGTTGGGCTACATGATTTGGTCAGGTAAATCAGGATCATTGGATGGGAATGCCTAAAAGGTTGGAGGAGTAAATAAAGTCCTAGAATTGTAACGTGCTGGGGTAGATAACAGACTTGGAATTGCGTTCATAAGACCATTTGGTCACGTTAAAGTCACCTCCAAGGCACCAGGCACGAGTAATCAGGGAGGCAACAATATTGAGTTGCTCCCAGAAAATGTTTCTAAGGTCGTCCGCATTGGGGCCATAAACCGTGGTTTATTTCCAAACCAGACCATTAGAGTTCATGGTGAATACCAGTGACCGAGAAAGTAACGACTTGAGATGCTGTAAGGGAGTGGACTGTGGAGTCTCAAATGACCCAGATGCTACCAAAGGCCCCAATGGCTGCCGGAGCCTCCGATTGGCAAGGCCTGCATCCCCATAATTGGCGAACTAGGGTCAACATGGAGGGCGAGTGCTTGCTACAAAGATCACAAACTGCATTTTTCTTTTTAGGCTGACTAAGTCTTCGAATGTTCCAAGTTAGCACTTTCATGAGGAGTTATTTGTGGTAGTGCGCTTAGAGGCTTACCTAGATTGACGCCTTGGCGAGGGGGCTGAGGCAGCGGGAGGCAAAGAAGGTGCAGAGGCTTCCCCTTTGTCATGGTTAATGCCCCATGCTAGATTGGAGAGTTCACATGTACCTTTAAGGGGCTTCTTAAGTGGGGGAAGAGCCTCGGCCCTAGAGAAGGCTTCTAGGGCGTTTGGTGGCCCGTTGATCTTCAAACTCATGACCTTGTATACCTTATAAATGTTCCCCTATGCTTGTTGTAGGTTCTTGAAAAAATTGGAATCCATGGACTTTCTTGAGGAGCAGGAGGTGCTGGAAGCAAACGCGGATGGTCGAGGTGAAGCTGGGGATTCGTGCTGGCCATACATCAGAAGAGGAGGGGGGGCTGACAACTCCTTTAGATACAATAAAAGAGATCCACCCAGGCGAGGTAAGAGGGGGGCCTTGAGCATGTAGATGCCCACAAAAGGGGCATGGTCGAGGAAGGTGGGAAAGGCCTTGAGGGGAGAAGAGGGGTTGGGCATAAGATGAGTGAGGAGGCTGAGAGAAGTGCAGACGAGGGTTGAGAGGGGAGGGAGGGAGCAGAGGAAAGGGCGGCGGAAAGAAGGGGGTGAAGCTTGGGGATAGACACAGAGCGATGGGCCAAGGGTTTAGAGGGGGGAGGGCAAAGAGGAGGAGAGAGGGCAAGGGAGAGAACTAGCTGGGAGAGGTGAGGGTGGCGGGATAGAAGAGAAAGACTCAGCTCTAGTGGTTGAGAAAGAGGAAGGGACTGGATGACATTTGGGGGGCGACCATGTTCGCAGGTGGCCTGGGTGAGGATAGCATCGGTGTCTCGAGAGAGGTCATGCTTGCGGCAGAGAGCATGGGGCAAAAGAGAGCTTGGGCAAGGGGGACGGTGTTGCAGGCCTATGGTGGTTTAGCAGGTGCTGGTCGAGCTCCAAGGAAGGCTGAAGGGTAACTATGATGTTAGAAGCTATCTCTGGGTTGCACAACTCCTGCTAGTTGGGTAAGAGACCTTCGGCAGGGGGGTTCATCGGCATTGGACCAAATTTCGGTTGTGGTGCTGAAGAGGGGAAGGTCATGACTTGCTGGGATGGGAAGGGGGTTCGGCAGAGAGACGACCTGGGAGAAAGGGAAGAAGAAGGGGATGATGAGGAGTTAGAGGGAGAGATGGAGGGGGGAGATGGCGCATGGCAGAGGGACCGAGGTAGGTGGAGTTGGACATGGCAAGCTGGAGGGGGAACAGTCGAAAGGGGAGCAGGCCTAGGGATTGATGAAGGAGAAAAAGGAATGGGGTCAGGGACGGCAGATGAGGGGTATGACTGGGAGGGAGGCCAGGATGACCTTTGGATGAAGAGGGAGTGCCCGAAGGCAAGGGGTTAAGATTGGGGAAGAGTTGGGAGGAGAGAGAAGGGGTCACGTGAAGCGAGTGAGGAGGCTTATCTAGGGGGATGGCAGCTGGTGGTGTGGAAAAGGTGGGGACAAGTATCGGCAAGTAGGGGGATGGCGAGGCTGTGGTCATGTGGTGCTCCAAGGGCAAGGTAGGCGAGGGAGCAGAAGCATGGGCAGATGGGAGGTGGGTTGAGAGGCCCCTATTAGGAGGCTCGAAGTTTCAAACTAAGCTATGGGATGATGAGATCGACGGCTTAGGGATTTCTTGGAGCGGCGATTGCGAACTATAGTAGTCCAGCCATTTGGACTATAGAATGGCATGGATGGTGCTCCATAGCAGGGTGAAGCAATTCAGGTTCTTGGATATGACGATTGGAAAACGTGGACGCCTGGGATCAAGAGAGTTTGGTTTGCAAGAATAATCTGTCATTCTCTTGCCAGAGGACGTGGGGAATGAGGGAGGGGTTGAGGGTCTCCACCAAGAGTCTGATAGTGCCTAAAGGCAGGTGGGCCGAGGATTTCCAATTAACTGAAATAAAAGAGCCACAAGCTTGTCCTATCTGGGCGAAGGTGTCAACTTGCCAAGCTTGTAGATGGATGTGTGAGACAGTGAACCAGAGCCAGACTTTTTGATGTAAAAGACCCCATTATCTTTTTTCCTGCGTTTGAGGGATAGGGCAACACCTTTGAAGAAGGGAGTGGACGCAAGACATGCTTTGCGAGACCTAGTTTTGTTAGGGAATGAGAAGAGCAAATCACCACTGAAAGCTTGCGTTCATCCCAGAGGTCAGCAGCCCAGGAACATACCCCTTTGATGTCATCTCGCTCTGGTTGAAACTACCCACCAAAGAGAACCTCAAGGAGTGGGCAATGTAAGAGGAATGCTTGCCCCCAATGGAGAGGCGGTAAGGGGAAATCTGGTGGGAGAATGATTTGGTGGCAGATGGGGGAAAGCTAAGCAGGGGGGCTTGGGTCGAGGGAAGGTTGGGATGGGGTAGACTAGGCTGGGAGGAGGGCTGAGGACAAACGAGGTGTAAGTATTGGTCGTAGAGGGGAGGGGGAGCAATGCGGTTTTCACTTTGGGGGTATAGAGGATAAGGGCGATAGGCGAAGGCAGGCTCACTGATAAGGGGGGTGGTGGGAACAGGTTAAGTTGGTGGAGCTGAGGGGTGGGATTGGAGTGGAGGAGCTGAAGGGCAGGGGTGGCGGGTAAGGTGGGGGGGACAGGGTTGGCCGCTTGACCGAGACATGGATAAACCTAGTGGAGGTCCAAAATTTTTTTAACCCATCAATTTTTTGTTTTTAATAAATTAAAAAATTTGAGAAGTGAAATAGCTTGTGGATGTCTTTGAATCAGAATTTATTCTTTAGGCTTCGGTTGCCAGTGGAGTTTTACATTATTCATTTTATTTTAATGCCCCTTCTTACACTATTGGAGCGCTCCATTGTAAAATGTACAATAGGGGAGAAAGGACCTTATGATATCTTTTCTTTCCTATTGTAAAAGATGGGATAAAGAGGCGCTGCGCCTTCACTACCTGCTCAATTGCAAAAGTAGCTAGTGTGGTCGGTTGTCTACCATCCCAATCTTGACACCAAGGCAGCCTTAACCATATTGGATCGGTACTATGTAAAACCCCAGATCAAGTGCAGCGTTGTTCTTCTGTTAAATAGGTAAGGAAAGGTTCACTACACATTTTATTAGATGCTTCTTAATTAATAAATGTATTGTTTGCATGTATTCTTGAGGAGAATGGAGAGGGCTTTTTGATTGTTCCTTTCATTTGATTAGAAAAGCTCTTGTTTTATATTTATTTTTTATCTTACAGATCATACATTTTTTTTTATTGCTCATTTGGGCGAATCTGTTTTCCAGTTTCACTTACGATCATTTTCTAGGTTTGGGCATGCATATCATAATCTCCAGCCCCGTGTGACAAGAACACTTCTTCATGCATTTTTGGACCCAAATAAGGCACGGACTCAGCATTATGGCGCAATTCAAGGACTGGCTGCATTGGGGCCTAGTGTGGTATTTGTTTCATTTTGTTATTGCTTCACCTCTTTTTAACTTTTGGAAAGTATGGTCCAAAGTGGACTGTGAAATAACCGTAGTCATTTGAGTCCCTCTATCCAGTGAAATAAATGGTGACAAAGAGAGAGAAAGACCTGCCTCTGGGGTCATGTCCTGTTCTTGTGGATCTCACCCCCCACCATTGATGATTTCATTGGTTGACGACCTCAGTGTGCTATGGAAACTATGGTTTTTTATAGTCCTTTGGATAATAGTTTACTTTCCCTCAAATATTCTCTTGTAATTCCTCTGATTTCAACGTCTGGCAGGTGCGATTGTTGATCTTGCCAAATCTAGAGCCTTTTCTACAGCTGCTTGAGAAAGATGTGCTTGGGGACCAGAAGAATGAAATGAAGAGGAACGAAGCATGGAGGGTTTATGGTGCTCTACTGGTTCATTTCTGTCCTCCCTCTTTTGAGCCCCAAACGTGGACTTGCAATTCTAGTATTTATAGTGTAACTAGAAGAAAGATCATCTCAACTGCGTATAGGCCTTTCTTGTTTGAGATGTCATATTTTCTTCAATTGCAAGATAGCAGCTTTTCTAATCACTTCAAACACACAAGCTAGAGGAAGACATCATATCTGAAATGATCTGCTTTTGTTGTCTTTTGCCTTGATTACTACTATTTCTATGGCTGCATGTCCCTTCTTTTTCAGTTATCTAATGTGGGATTCTTTGAAAGCTGAAAATGATGTCGTATTATTTATAGGAAATCCATTGGAGTGTGTTATATAGTACTCCACAAAGGCTATCTATTCCTGCTGATGGCTTGTGAAGATTTAACTGTGCCGGAACCCAGCAAGACAATGCCCCAGCTACAGTTAATCTAAACTACCTCTTGTCAGGAATGGGTGGTGGATGCACCATGTCATATGCATTTGGATCATGGTGTACTTTTCGTTCTTTATTTGATGCATATATAATGAGTTCATTATGTGCCTTGTGTCTTCTCCAGCGTGCATCAGGTCAATGCTTATATGATCGCCTTAAACATTTCCCTAATGTATTATCTCCATCCTCCCATGCTGCCTGGAAGTTGACTGGAAGGCCTGTGATCACAACCCCTCCAAGTAAGAAATTTGTGTAATCCACACCCATGTTTCTTTTCTGTTGATTATCATCTTTTTTGAATTATGAGAATAGTATCAGAACTAGACTAGAGACAAGTAATTGGACACCTATATGCACAGATTATCCTTTGTTTTTTGACATGTACAAATTTTCTAAGAGGTAGTATGAAGCATTCGTTCAAGCCATAGTCACAAACATCCTTTTATTGCATCTCTGAACATTATTATTTGTTGGGTGAATTGCATATTTGAGTTATGCTTAGAAAACTTGAGGGATATTTTAAAAGGTAAAACATTGATAAAATGTATGAAACTTGCAAAATTTTAAAGCAAAACACAAAATAGAAAAGGTAAACTTACTAAACCATCCCGAAGAGATGCACCATTTAGCACTTCACCTATTATTTTCCCTAGTTTTAAGCTCTCAAAGCGCACATCATGGAGGGTCAGAATTTGTCAAAGGTTCAACATCCAATTTTGCTCTATTATTGACACCTCTCTGCAAGATATTCATACAATATTTGTAATATTGATATCTTGTGAAATTTAACAGCTTTGAGATATTGATATTTGAAAATACAAGTATCATGTATCCAGAAATTCCAAAAATGCCAGTATCTCTCAGTGTGATTTACTTATTGATATAGTGGTGTTTGAAAACACCAGTGTCTCATGCGATGATTTGCTTAGTGAGATGTTGATGTTTGTAGATACTAGTTTCTCACAGGGTAGTTTGAGATATTGGTGTTTGGAAATCCCAGTATCTTGCGAATAGTTGATTTTCCGATACACTACTTTGGTTTTGATAGTCGGGTTAAATTGGAAATCACCCCTCCAATTTCTGACCCCATATGATGTGCTTTAAGTGCCCTTTTGAAATGAGGCAAAGAAAATAGGCGAATATTGTCATGTTTTGGTAGTATTATGGAGTTTCCCAAGAGAAAATTAACTTACAAGTTCTATCAATCTATAGACTGGTTTAGGATTTGTATTCGGGTATTCTTCTTATAAACATGCATTTTTTTTGTATTCGTTATTAGGCATCGAAGAGACTGCCACTCCACCACGACTAACTAAATCTCTAATCCAACCATGGAGAAGTCAACCCCAACTTAACCAAATACATGTGACCTCCAACATGACTATTTCCCATGACATTTCTTTCGAGTTTCTCAACACAATGGAAAGAAATTGTTTTAACGGTAGAGCACAAAATGTGCAATCGGATGGATGGAACTCCAACCTAACCAAATATATGTAACCCTCAACATGATTTTTTTCCATTACATTTCTTTTGAGTTTCTCGAAAGAAATTTTTTTTTATGGTGGAGCACAAAGTGTGGAATGCGGTGGATGGCACCATACTTGGTGCAATGTTAAGTGTGGCAGCTGACATGAACCGTTCCTCCACTCTGGCGTACTTAGGCAGCCTGAATCAGAGGAATGGTTCGCAGCAACAATTCCTTTAGACAAGAGACAGCTGATGTTACTTATAGCATACTAAGCAGCATGCTGCATGGATCATGTTATACTTCCTCCATGAGATATGATCAATATTTTCTTTTCTGAAAGTTGTTTAACACTCCAATCATGTTTAAAAACCTCTGATATATTTCATGGTGGCCCACAGATAAGAGAAAGGTGGGCCCTGATCAATCAGCTGAACAGCCACCACTCAAGAAAGCGGCAACTGATGGGTTACTATCTCCAAATTCGACCACCTCTTTCCAAACAGAGCCACCACAAACACAAGTCGGGGACACAGTTACCATGCCCATGTCTTCAGCTGATGCTAGCCATGTGGGCCCATCATCTTCTTCTACAATACGGGGCCAGCATGATAGTGTGGGACCCATGAGAGGGGTTGCAGGGCGGGGCGCACTAAATGCTTCCAAAGTGCTAGGGCAGGCATGGAAAGATGACATGGATGCGGGTCGGCTTTTGGCTTCACTCTTTGAGTTGTTTGGGGAGTCCATGTTCTCTTTCATTCAGCCTCCTGAGAGGCTTTTCTTCTTGTGAGTGGTGCAATCGGGGGAAGTTGTCTATGTACTATTAGATTATTGACATAGTGATCTTACGAAATTGTTAATGTGATGAATGCCTATCCGAACATGTTGCTCGAGGAACGCGAACAGATGACCAGAAAAGATGATCTGTTTTTTTTTTTTTGAACAGTCAATGGTAATGATCGTACTTTTTCTTTTGTGCTACAGCTCCCAAAATTTGAGAGCTTTGCCAGCATAATCCCTCCATCTCTCTAGTGTGAGT